CAAGGAATAAAAGTCGATGAGAAGAAAACTCAATCTATTGAAGATTGGCCTACACCAACCTCTATGCAGCAAGTTAGAAGTTTTCATGGGCTTGCATCCTTCTACCAGAGATTTGTGAAGGATTACAGTACCACTACCGCACCACTCACGGATTCAACAAAAAATCAGAACCTCAAGTGGAAATCGAAGGCCCAATAAGCATTTCAGATTATCAAATACCGGTTAACACATGCCCAGGTGTTAGCTTTACCGAGCTTTGAGAAGCTTTTTGAAGTTGAGTGTGATGCATCCGGAGTTGGAATAGGGGCTGTCTTATCTCAAGAAGGCCATCCCGTGTCCTATTTCAGTGAGAAGTTGAATGACACAAGAAGGAGATATTCAACTTATGACAAGGAGTTCTAAGCTCTTGTTCAATCTCTAGAACATTGGCGTCATTATTTGATCTGTAAGGAGTTCATACTTCATTCTGATCATGAAGCTCTGAAGTATATCCAACGACTACACAAACTCCGACCCCGCCATGCTAAATGGTTTGAATGCATCCAAACCTTCACCTTCACCATAAAGCACAAAAATGGGACCGTGAGACATTTATTACTAACGGTGCTTACTACCAAACTTGTTAGTTTTGAATTTTTGCAGGAGCTTTACAAAGAGGATGAAGACTTCAAAGTCACTTACCCTAAGTGTCTTGAACGGTCACTTGAAAACTTTTTCATCAAAGATGGTTACTTGTTCCGTGGCAATCAAATATGTGTTCCGAAATGCAGCATTCGTGAAACCCTCATTGATGAAATACATGGTGGAGGATTAGCTGGTCACTTTGGCATCGACAAAACCCACATGATGATGCGTGAACACTACTACTGGCCAAAGATGGAACGAGACATTGAGCACTACATCAAGCGGTGCAGCTTGTCATATGGCTAAAAGCCATTCATTGTGGGAAGATGTCATCCAATACTTCATAACAGGGTTGCCAAGAACACAACGAGGCAAGGATTCTATCATGGTCGTGGTGGATCGATTCTCAAAGATGGCTCATTTCGGGCCATGCTTAACCACTCGAGATGCATCACAAGTTGCTGATCTTTATTTCCGACATATTGCCAAGCTTCACGGCATTCCCCGTAGCATGGTATCGGATGGAGACAATAAATTCCTTAGTCATTTATGGATGACTCTCTTAAGAAAGATGGGTACTAAACTCAAATTTTATACGTCAAGCCACCCCCAAACAAACGTACAAACTAAGGTGACCAACCGCACTCTTGGAACCCTACTCCAAGTCCTCATCAAGAAGAATTTCAAGCAATGGGAGGAACTCCTACCACATGCAGAGTTTGCCTACAATAGAACTCCAAACAAGACCACAGGAATCTCACCTTTCATGATTGTTTATGGTTCTAACCCCCTTACCCCACTTGAACTTAAACCCATCATGGCAGATAAAAAATACAGTTGGGAGGCGGAGAAGCGAGAAAAAGAAGTTCAAGACCTTCATAACAAGGTCTGAGAAAAGATTGAGTCAATGAATGAAAGGGTAAGTGCACGGGTCAACAAAGGAAAAAAGACAGCAGAGTTCAACCCCTATGATCTAGTTTGGATCCATCTCTGCGAAGAGCGTTTCCCCACAAAACGCAATTCCAAGATATTATCACGTGCTGATGGACCATTTGAAATCTTGGAGAAGGTGACTGGCAATGCTTACAAGGTCAATTTACCTGAAGACTATGGACTTTCACCTACATTCAAAATCACCTATCTCACCCCCTATTTTGAGCCTGAAGATATTCTGAATTTGAGGTAAACTCTTCTGAAGAAGGGGAGGATGATATACCCCGGAATGCTACGAACAAGCTTGGGCTCACACCGCAAGCTACAAAACAAATCAACGGGTTAATGTCTAAGTGTTATGACCCTTTTTGGGTTGAATTCATTTCCCTTCCTCTTGCAAAAGTCCAAACCATAACCCTCGTAACCCAAAACCCCACCTAGGCCGAATTTCCCCTAAGTCCACACCTTTCTCGAACACCCAAAAGTATTATCTTATCATGTTTTCAAAATAGTCTTCTCCATTCATTTGAAAAGCCATGACCAAAATGAGACCAAAGGTCTTGTTTTTATCTTTCAAAGTGTCTGTTGGCCAAATAATGTCTTTCCCTTCCTTTCCTACAATAAGGGACGAAAATCCCTTTCTCTTTTCTCCAAAAATCAGGCCTATTTCAACCATGAATCAAGACAAACCTCCTTCAACATAAAAAGATAAAAACAGAAAAAGAGTCTTTGATTGAATAGTGAATGTTTTGTCATTTTGAGACACAAATGATTTCACTTCACCCTCCTTCAATATGGCCAAAATTCTACCACATTGTTCAACCAAAAATAAGACATTTCCTACATCAAATGAAGACCATATCATGCCCCATGAATAGGCCAGAAATCACACAAATAAAATCCTTGAATGAATAGAGCAGATTTGTCATTTTGTTCATCAAAGTCAAGGTGTAGCCACACAATGTTTTCCATTTACCTCACATGGCCGAAATATCCACCCCAAATAACACCAAAGAATATCCATTAAAGTCTCTTATCCTTGTCATTGAATTTAACTCATTTTAGATTATAATACAGGGATACTGATCATTTGATTTGTAGGAAAGATGAAGGAAGCTTCCTAGTTGTATTCTCCCCTTTATATTTCGGCCAACATGGCCTTGTAATACATATCATATGTTTTAATCAAAATCATACTCTTTGAGTGTCATTTGAATTGGTGTGAAGCTAATTCAACAAAATTTCCTAATGAAATATCTCTAAAGTTGGCTACTTTTAAGTGTGTGTTAGGAGTCTAATTTTATACATTAGTAGTGATTATTAATGTGTAAATGAAGATAATAGCCCCAAGTAAAGATAAGAGTGTGTTTATCTCTTAACACTTATTTGGTTTTATCCAACCAAAACAAAACCCAAACCTCCTCCTCTTTAAAGTTACTCCATTTCTCTTCTAAAACCATATATTTCTTCCCTCTTTCACTCACCTTAATTCGGCCATAACCATACCCACATAACCATCATTATTCCTAGGGCTGTAAACGGATAGTCGAAAATCCGATTACCGTCCGCATCCGAATCCATTTAAAGAGGAAATATCCGCATCCGTTTTAAACGGATATTATCCGTATCCGATTAAGGATATCCGATTACTAAACGGATACGGATTTGGTAATTGTATATCCGATCCGTTTAAAATCCGATCTGAATATGCATCCGTTTAAATAACCGTTTATCCGAATATCCGATCCGTTATATATAGGTTTTCCTAATTTTTTATGTTTATATTTTGTTTTTCTATTGATAATTCAAAATATAAGAAATTTTTATATACAAAATAAATGTGTAGACACATAAAAATATGTAAAGACATATAAAATATGTGTATATGCGTGTCGTGTATATCTTTTATCATATGAAGTTATCGTAGAATATCATAAATCATGTTTTTCTATGTTAGTTGCGTGACACATACTTTTGTGTGGGTTGTGCTACTTTGTTTTCTTCTACCCTTGTGTGCTAGATGTCTTCGGAAAACAATCTCTATAATCTATATCTTTTATAGGAAGGAGCAAAGTCGGCAGACACCCTGACCCACAAATGGGCTTTCACTAAGCAGACCTTACCATACCAAAGCGTAAATAGGTTAAATAGGCTATTTCCAAGAGAATAAATTGACAAAGAATGTTTAAAAGAGAATTGATACTATGAAACCAATCCCCTTTGACAATCACTTTTATAATACACCTCTAACCGGTTTTGGTCTGTTTCAGTTTTGATCTATTTAGTTTTTGGGTTTGATTTATTGGTTTTTTTGTTCAGTCCTAGTTCTAAGGCAGCGTTCTGTTCAACTTATTCTTTTTTTGCATAATACATATTCTTATTATAATCAGATCAGGCTAAATAAGATCAGAAACAACTTTAATTATAACTGCAATCAGTCAGACCAGGTCAAACATTCAAAAAATCATATCAGATCAAGCGAACGGAATGCATCCTAAGTACTCGCGACATCCCTAAAAGAACTTGACTTTTTGGTTTATAATACTTGACTGAAATTAATTTCAATTCAATATTTCAATTTATTTCAAAATTGGAGTAAAAAAGATACTAAATTATATATATATATTTAAAAAACAACATCAAAAGATCTGTAACATGAGAGGGGTCATGACTATATTATTTTGTCAAATTATCAAAGGAGATTGGCTTGTTAGCACATTGTTGATGGAACTTGTACATAAGATCAGAAAACTAAGAACGCAATACAAAAAACAACAACCGAGTACAATAACAACTTTGTTGGGGTCTAGGGTCAAGATGTATGCAACTTTACACCTGTAAAATACAGAGAGACTGATTGTGTTAGTTTGTTCTATTAGACCCTTGATGCATTGCTCCATTTACTACCCAAAGCGTCATTGAAAGTAAGATGCAAAGAATATTTATTGTGTCATTTTGATTAAGTCCATTATTTATCCAAAGCTTGAACCTTGTCTATTACTACTCTTTTTAGCTTTGTTCCCAATGGACAAAACTGAAAATGGAATAATGTGACCTAATTGAGGTATATAGTTTCAAAATGAATCAAAACAAAAGAATAAAGGGCCAAAATACAAATCTACTTGGGTGTATTGCACTTGTGTTAGCACTTTTTTTAATGGCGCAAGGAAGATAACCTATGTAAATCAATTAAGAAAGAGGTTATTGGTATAGGTAGCATGGCTTCTCTGAGTTCTCTCAAACCATTCAACTATGAAAGAGAGGCTCAAAGTAATCGGACAGACTAAATACGAATTTACAAAATCTTCAAAATATTTTTGAGAATTCGTAGTCAATCTCACCCATCTAATATCACACAACCCAAAGCATCACAAAGTTACTAAAGTAAAGAAGATAAGTAAAACAAAATCTTAAAAGATAAAATAAAGAAGAAAAAAGTTAACCTGCAGCCCAAGGTCTGCCCTCAGAACTTGCAAGTTCAGAACGTAGCTTTTCCACTTCCATTGCCATTGATGCCATGTTTTTCTCCATTCCCTTTCTCTCGTCAACCAAATCAACTTTTGCCTTCTTTTCATAATCAAGAGCAGACCTGCAAATCAAAATTTATAAATTTATTACTTAATAGCACTAGCATTTTGATAACCATACAGACATAGGAATGACAAAGGCCATTCTAGACAATAGTGCTTTGCTCCATTAGATAGTAAGCTAAGTGAAGACAAAAACCTAGCATGAAAAAGCTCCTGACGTAATCCATCAATTTCCACCCTCAAAAGTGGAATCTGTTGGTTTTCAGCTTGCAGTTTCGAAATTTCTTTAGTCAGTGTCTCCACCTGCTCACAGAGATCCTTCTTTATGCTATTCAGCCTGTGAACTTCGGTCCGAAGCTGTTTGGCATTGTATTTCAGGGGTTCGAGGGCTCTAAGATCAGCTTCCAACTTTAGACCCCTATCTATGATTTCCCTTGAACGGAGATCATGTTCAGCATGAATATCTGCAATAGCACGATTCATGCGGTGCAGATCTTCCTTAGCAGCGCCCAGCTCCTGTTGTAGAGTAACGCGATCTTCACCCAGTCTCAGGTTTTCTCCTAAAAGTCGGCGAATTTCAACATGTCGAATTTCAAGTTCTTCCTCTAACAAGGCAGGATGGGGATGCAAGGATCGGCGCATAGGACTACGAACAAGACGCCCTTCTGCAAGGTGATTGCGATGACGGTCGAATCCTTCCCGATGAACGCGATTCCTTCCTGCCATCTAAAGTATCACTGGAAGAAGATGCAGTGGTCAAATTAGGTTTTTTTAAGACGCTAAATACTTATTAAAATTTAAAACAGAACCATCAGCTGATGAAACAGAGCCAGGATTGAGGAAAAACCAAGATGTGTATGTTTGGTACGTTAGTAAGTAATTACTCCCTTGATCCACAAATAAACTTTTCTCGTCCAATATTCACATGTTTAAACTTTATTTGTTTTGTTGGTCTATTTTTTTTACTCATTTGATTAAATAATATAATTTATGTTACTTCTAATTTTGTAAATCTTTTGATATAGTTTTTTTAATATGTATTTTTTATTTTTAAATTTTACACCATTTTCATATAAAATGATTTGAAAATAACTTCAATCAAACATCGTAACGCGCAACGATAAGTTTATTTGTGGACGGAGGGAGTACAATGAAAAAGTTTGATATTTTGTAAAATAGAAAATATTTATCTGCAGGTTTATAAAAATTGTGATAAAGCACATATTTTATATGTAGATTTTAGGATCACAGAAGTGTTAGACAAAACGTGCAATTCCAGAGGGTGAATAGAGTTGTTTTATAGAATGAACGTTTTTCGTGTGCGTATAAACAAAATAAAAATCACAGGAAATATGTAAAGAGTAAGAGAAAGAAGAACACTGCGACATAGACTGGTTCACCACTTCGTGGCTAGTCCAGTTCTCAGAGAGACTCTCAAAGATCGTATTATACTTCAAGCTTCAACGGCTGCTTGAAAAACTGGTAACAACTTGAGAGCTTGAGTCACACAAGCTTCAACTTCTTACAACAAGACTTGAATCACACAAGTTTTAACTTCTCACGACAAGACTTGAATCACACAAGTCTTAGCAACAACCAAACTCAAACAATATGAATTTTACAACACAATATTGAAAGCTCACACAATTGAACAAGTAGTGTTTAAAATGAAAGCTCTATGGATAACAATATCTTTTGCACTCAACAAGAATATTTCTAACTCTCAAAAATAATATTTTGATGAAGAGGATTGAAGCAAGAGTTGTAAATTGGATAAAGAAAGAATGGAGTGCAAGAGTTGTATATTAGATAAGGAATGGAGTGCAAGAGTTGTGTTAAAAATGAAGGAAGATTAGGGATTTTATAGGATTTAGAAAAATAAATCCGTTGGAGCCAAAGAAGGACTTGTGAAATGCACCAGACGAAAATAATTATCTTTTATTATGAGTTAGAAAAAATCGATTAGGACCTTTTGACTAAAACTCCTTCAGCGGAGGAAAGGGCTAATTGATTAATTCAATATGGATTAATCGATTATCGTGTTGTGCTGAACGATCCTCCAACGTGTACGAAGTATTAATCGATTAACGAAGAGGGATTAATCGATTAGTATGTGAATTATACGCAAACAAGAAGGGCTAAAGCTATGTGCGAGATGAGAAGGTAATTTGGTGTAAATGCCTTGTTTCCAACAAGGAGAATAGGCAAGAGGCTCCATAATCAAACAAGAATAATTCAAATTGAATTTGAATTATAAAGGTAAATATTTGGTGTACAAATTGAGTCCCAAAAAACATTTTGTGTGTCAAACGATGTACACAAAAAATACTTAATGTATATTTTGACACACCTTTTTGTAACTGAACTAATAAATTATTTTTAGATAGAGAAAAGTTTATTTTTCAACTAACTCAAAAAATAATAATTTTATTTCTTAAAAAATTTATTTGTTTAAGCAAAAAATATTTGTCATCCTTACAAATTGTTCCTAGAGTCAATGAAATTAAAAAGTCTTCAGAATCTTCACTTCACTTGAAAAACCTCTGCATAGGGGTGAGCGTTGATACGTCTCTTTGCTTTCTCGATTCGAAAATAAAAATTTAAATCGTCGTTTCGATTTCATCGTTCCGTTTGTCATTTATCAAAACCTGAAAAATAATGTTACAGTATATCTAAAAAGGGTTTGAACTCATGTCAAACAATTTCCTCCTTTTTGATAATGACAAACATAGTTGAGAAATAGCAAAGAGTTCAAGAAGTACTTTCCTTAAGCGAATCCCCCTGCAAGGTTAGATTATTGCAGTGAAAAAATTTCGGAGTAACAAGCGGAAAATCATTTTGAAAAAGATGTTTTTTTTCTCAACTATCCTTCCCACTTTTGGCATTATCAACTGATAACCTTCCCCTTAATTGATGTCAGGATATTGAAGGATAGCCCAAAAGCATTTTTCTTAAAACATTTGCAAGAGTTTCCTTTAAAAAAGGAACTGATTGCAATTTGATAAACAAATGGACAATATGTTCTAACAAGAACAATACTGCCAAGCAAACATCATGCATAAATCAATAATAATAATAATAATAATAAAGGATTAAAACCACAATCTATAATCATTCATTAACCATAATTCATAACAAAGTCATCAAGTATGCATCATCAAATAATAAAACATAATGTTAAGGCATAAAACATCTAGAACAAGTTATGAACCCAAAAAAAGAAAGACATCACAGAGAGTTTTCCGGGCGCGATCCTCTACTGTAGCTATAACGTGGACCACAAAAAGAGCAGGATTGCTCGAGACAGGTCATCATCTCGTTGAGCTGACGGATGTCATCCCGGACGCAAGTGAGAGTGTCAAATAGCCTCTTCACCCAAGATGGCTCGGGGGCTTCTTCTCTTGGACAAGTGCGTCAACGACGAGGAGCTCGATCTGAGGCACGACTTGTCCCTTCACCGGCTTGTGATGACTCCGCTCGAGTCTCGTTCCGGCTTTCTTCTTCTTCAGTGACCACAATATCAAGATTCTACATAGTTGCGCCCTCCTCGCGATAGAAGATCCGGGTGAATTTGGTGTCCTTTATGTAGCACGTCTTCTTCACCGGAACTCGTATGTCCCGAGAAAGGTCCACTTCATAGTGAGCAAGGATATGAATTATAGGAATGGCAAATCGAATATGTGAAATGCGAGAGCCTTCACGAAGTGCAACGAGGAAGAAATGAACCTAATCAAATTTGACATTGTTCAAAAAGACGTGGAAGAACCGAATATCGTCTTTGTTGACAACGTTGTGGTTCCGATCAGGAGGCAACAAAACATAGCAAAAGATATATTGTTGAACTCGTTGAATGAAGGTGAGGTTAATGACACTCGGGTTATTGGAATTCTTATATTGAAGGTCACGGAAACGTAACCCGAGTTGTTGCCAAAATTTCTCATCTTGGAATGTTTAATCCAAGTTGTCGGTAAGTTGACCTCTACGAAGGCTAGAGAGGGATGTCAAAGCGGCACCGTCAAGACGAACGGTTTTACTGTCAACGTATGAAATGAGAGTTGGCCGCTCTCCCAAAGTGATACAAAGATTGGAATAAAATTGACGTATAAGATTGGGACAATAGAATTCATACGTCAAATAGATAAAACGAAGCAAACTTGTCGAGAAAAGAGGGCCTTGCTCGGGGCATAGGTTGCCGTCTTGAAAAGCTCCTTGTCCACAATCTTCAGTGGAATAATGTTCTTCGCGAGAAGTTCTTCATCAAAGCTCTCTGCGGTAGCGCCATTGACGAATTAGAGATTGGTTTGCACGTGGAGGTATCTGTTTCCATCGAATGTCCAAGGGTGATTCTTAGAAGAAGAGGCTTGTTTCCCGCTTGGATTCTTGCACCTTGGCATCTTCTCGGTTGAAATTGATGAATTTTAGAAGAAATTTGGTGAAATTTGAGAAGGAAAACTCGAAGAACAAATCTAAGGTTCGAGAGAATGTTTTCGCTGTTGAAGAACAAAAGTGGATTTGGGGAAGAAGAAGTGACGACCTGACCTGGTTTTCAAGCAAAAACGACTAAATAATAGATTAATCCAGAAGGTATTAATCGATTTCGGTTGAAGGTCGCAGTCAAAAAATCAGACAGATTACTTTAATCGATTTTTGGAGTGAAAATTAATCGATTAATAAAAGCTTTGCGTCAAAAACTGGGAATAATATTTTAATCGATTAAGGTTAACAAAGAAATCGATTAGGATTTTAAGCGCAGGCCAAAAATTACTTAGTAAGTATTAATTGATTAATAGATGAACAATTAATCGATTAATTGACTAGGCGAGGAAAAGGGATATTTGATCAAATGATTTTAATCAATTAAAATGAAATGAAAAGATCGATTAATGAAAATTTTGACAACAAGAGGCAAGTTTTGATAAAAAATTCACCAAGTTCAACCTTGAGCCAAATAGCAAGGGAAGAGATGCCTGAAAAACGACCCGGCAAAAAAGTTTATTGCGCCTCCGATGCTCAAATTAGTATCGTCAATAAAAAGAATGAATTAGTTCATAGAGATATCCAAAATGCTAAGTTCGTTCTGAATGTGGAAGAAACTCTCCCTACTAAGGGGTTTCGTAAAAATGTCTGTCAATTGATGTTTCGTTTCAACAAACTCAATTCTGACATCTCCCTTTTGGACGTGATCTCGTGTGAAGTGATGCCTAATCTCTATGTGTTTAGTCCGCGAATGATGAACGGGGTTCTTTGTTACACTAATAGCACTCATATTGTCACACCTAATTGGGATGTGATCAAGTATAAAGCCGAAATTCACTAGTTGCTGTTTTGACCAAAGAATTTGGCCACAATAACTTCCCGCAACGACATATTCCGCTTCGGTGGTGATAGTGCAACGCTAACTTGCTTCTTGCTAAACCACGAGATTAAAGAGTGACCGAATAAGTGGCAAGTACCGCTGGTACTTTTCCTATCGAGTTTCCATCCTCTAAAATCCAAGTCGGAATAGCCAACAAGATGACACGTCGAACCTTTGGGATACCAAAGACCTACGTTCAACGTGCCTGCAAGATATCGCATTATCCTCTTGATTGCAGCCAAGTGCGATTCTTTATGACAAGATTGATACCTAGCACATATACAAACGGAGTACATGATATCCGGTCTACTTGTGATATGGTAAAGTAAAGAGCTGATCATACCTCGGTAGTGCTTTATGTCTACCTCTATACCTTTATCGTCCTTGTCGAGATAGCAATAGGTGCTCATTGGGGTGTCAATGGATATAGATTCTTTGTCTGTTAGTCATTGGATTGTGATGTTGCAATGTTTAATTTGCTTAACTATAAGGCACTTAAAGGGAAGGCTTTAGGAAATATTGCTTTTTTATAGATAACCCACAGGTTAATTAACAAATAAATTAACTAACAATCAAAACAACAACTTTCACACAAGCACATAATTAGGATTTAAAGTTACCTCCTGGAGCAGAGGAGTTGCGAGAGATGCGGATGCTGCAGCTGAGTACCTTTTTTTAAAACCTCTTTTTAAACACATTTTTTTGTAGTTCTTATTTTGAAAGGTTCCAAAGACCGGGTTTAAAACCACTTGCTCCAATACCAAAATGTAACACCCTAACTCGCATAACCCGAACCAACGAGTTAGCGAACCGGGTAGTTACTAAATTGGCATACAAACAATAATAATTTTCAAAATAATTTAAAACACTTAATTCAAACATTATGTAAATATCCATCGGAGTTAACAAAACAGTGCAGAAGCCTTTAAAAGTTAAATCAAAATAGAACTTGGGTTATTGCCCTTAAAAACATAATTAATTCAAATGCATTAATTGAACTAGATAACTCCTCTAGCCAGCATCCATCCACCTTTATGCCCTCGGTGCCATCCAGGATAGTTCCTTATTCATCAATCATGTTACCTACGTGTAGCAAATATGAAAAAGGGATACACGCTCAACATTGAAGCTAAGTGAGAAATATCTAACGTTTCGACTACGCACATAGACGAACTCACTAGCTCATAACTTCATACAATATCATGCACACAGTTTGTTCCATTCAATTTATCTTTATCCAGAATGGAACGCAGGGCGAGGTTGTTTGTGTTGTTGTTGTTTGCCATCTACAGAATTTTGCGAAGATAGTTATTATCATGAATTAAGTATCTAATAGGTCTTTATTAAATACTCTCCCACTATTTCTAACAAGTCAATTACCCTCAGGTACGGAACCTATTGACTTGGGGTTTCTATTTGAAGAATACCCTAGCGGGCCAAGATCCAT